ACAGGCCTGACACAGTAGAGAGGTGGCCAACATTGGCTGACCCACTGCCTGGGCCTGAGGGCCAGTGGCAGACGTGGTGACAGGCCAGGCTGAGTCCTCAAAGCTGGTCCTACTGGGACAATTCCAGGGACCAAGCCCTCCACTGTATTCCACACTCACCCACCACCCCTCAACTCTGAGTACGTACTGTTAGGACTGGAACTGTATTCCCAACCACTAGGGCACTGAACCAAGAATGTCGCCTCTGGTTGGCAGTCATGGATCATGGACAAGGCCTTCAGTGTCCAGAGAGGGCCGATGGTGCCCAAGGTCACACATTGAAAGAGCATCACACAGGCTAACCCTACAGGCTGCTCAAATTGGGGGTGGGGTCCTTTTAATATGTCCCAAGATGCCTCATCTGAGCCCTGGCAAAATGTGAGGAATAAAGGCCACATCTCATAAAAGTCAAAGTGGCCTTGGGCAGACACAGGACATGGCCTAGGAGACAACCACAGCAAGGGGCAATCCATGAGGGCTCCCAGGAGGAGGTGAGGGGGCCTGAGCCCCACTCTGGCCTGAGCCCCTCAGCACCCCAGCCTGCTCAGCCTCACCCCTTCCCTCAATGGGCCCCTTGCCCAACTTCAGCTTTAGCCTGACATTTCCTATGACATTTGCTGCAAAGAAATAGAGTCATAAATCCAAAGGTTAAATTTGCACATTGCCTCAAACTGCAAGGAGGAGCCATGACTCCTCATCCACCAGGCACACTGAGCATGCAGGCTTGTGTGGGATGGCCCACCCATCCCTAGAACCTCTGAGGGGGCCTGAAGGTCCCACACAGACCTTGGAGGGACCTCAGTCATCATTCCCTACAATCCGTTCCTGGGGACCCTCAGCCCTGAAGCTTCTTGGGGAAGGGCACTGGTTAGAAGAAGTGTGCTTCCCACCTGCTTATGCAAACCAGAGGCTCCGAGAAGCTAAGTGGACAAGGAATGGGGTCAGCATTGTTTAGTGCAGCCACCCCCAAATTTGATTGACCATGAAATCCTTGTTGAACACCCACTGACGTTCCATGCATTTCAATTCTACAGAGCATGATCTGTGAGGACCAGACAAGGACATCCACAGTGTGGACGAGAGAGCTGAGAGGCACAACCTCGGGGTACCAGGTGGGCCTGCTTTGAACTCCTCCTTAATTCCCTTTCCCTGGGATCCTATCCAGTTCCATGATCCTAGGGCCCAGGTGGGGGCACACTTCCTGCCAGACTTACTGGACAGTTAAGTCCCATACTCTGCTCACCCAATCCTTGTCTCTCTGCTCTGCCCTTGGCTCTGGTTGCCCTCAAAGGCTCCCTCCAAGGGAGGAGTCAAAGTAGGGTGGACCATGTGAAGTCAGACAGGACTGTCAAGACATAGTACGTCCAACACAGGAGCCAGCACAGGAACTGGGGACCAGAAGAGAGGCTTGTGAATGGGGACAGGTAGGAGGGGGACCCCAAAGAATCCCTCGCACAACACTGAATTTGAATGACCTATAAATGTCCGAAACAGATTGCATTCATCATGAATGAGAAATGGAAACCCAGGCCTGGCAAAGATGTGTGCAAATGGCCTCACCAGAGTTAGGGAGGGTGTGAGACCAGGTCCTGGCACAAGCACTCAGTGGAGGGGGGATGGTGGAATGATGTGACCATGACCACACAGGTGATTTGGAGGTGGCTCCTCGAGAACACACTGGAACAGTGCATGGAGTGAGAATCAACAACCCTCTTGGGAATGGATCCTACACACACCAATAAATCCATATTGCATAAAAATAGGTAGCAACACACGCAATTTTGAAAATGCAGTGACAAAAGAAGAAACGGCATATAACAAAACACCCGTAGGATAGAACCCGGCTAGGCTTACACATGTCCCAGTGTGCCAACCTCCAGGGCCGGTAGTGGTGTCCCACAGCTTCCTGTTGCCACACTTTGCTCTCCTGTCCTTCAGAGCATTTAATCCCACAAACTCACAAGGACAAGAATCGAATCCTTTATCTGCCTGGTTCAGAGTAAGGTCTCAACAGGCCATGAATGAATGAAGGAATGAATGAAAGGTCATGAAGAAACGCAGCACCTGGGATGTGGTCATGTGGAGGCCTGAGTGTGGGTGGAGCCAGGTTCCAGGGCTGGGGGATATTGAGGGAGCTCAGGGGTTTCAGAGGCTGGGCCCTTGGAGAACATGGTAGAGGGGGAAGAGGACTCCTGGGGGTCAGCATAGTGAGAGGCAGGAGGGTTTCAGTCAGAGAAAGCATTGTCTATATCATGGACCTGGAGGCCAGAGGTCCTAGGTGTATCCACAGAGGACCAGGCAGTCCTATCCTGGGGTCAGAGGTCAGGACCCACCAGAATGGGAGACAGGGCAGGATGAACTATATTGATTAAGTGGTTGTTGTTGTTGATAAGTGTCGTTGAGTCGGTTCCGACCCATAGTGACCCTGTATAGGGTTTCCGAGGAGCAGCTGGTGAGCTTGAACAGCCGACCTTGCAGTTCAAATGGCTTTGCAGTCTGGCGCATTAACCCACAGCACCACAGACCTCAGTAATGCTGCAACAAAGCATAGGAGGGGCTGGGGAAGTTCATTCCCTCACACACTGTCCTGACTCATTTTACACACACACACACACACACACACACATCTCCTTCACACATTCTTTTCCTCAGACACTCACCTCACATACACCCCCCACTTCCTCCTTCACACACTCCCTCATACACACACACTCAACATACACATTCCTTCTCACACATACACCCTCATGTACAGATTCCCTCATATACTCCCTTCCGCTCTCTTTCTCTCTCTCTCGCTCTCTCTCTCTCTCTCACACACACACACACACTCCCTCCCTCTCACATACACACTTCTTCACAGACACACTCTCTCTTTCACATTCGGTCATTCACACACCCCCTCAACATTCATTTCCCCTCCCCCCTTTCACACACTCTTTCCCTCCCACTCCCCTCCCCCCACATACACTCTCGCATTCCACAACAGCCCCTTTTTGGTGTTGTTTTTCTGACCCCTTTTCCAGATGCACAGACTGAGGCTCTCTAAGGAGATAGCAGGAATCATACCAGGTTTTCCTGTAAGGCTGTCATGTGGCTGCAATGGGTCCAGTCCCTGGAGGTGGGCTCTGAGTCAGCACTCCCACCAGGCACCCTGAAGAGGGGTGGGCACTCTGCCTCCTCTCAAGTCCCATCCTGGCTTCTGCCTAGACCCTCCTGGTATCACACCATTTGTCCCAGACAGCCATACCACAAAGTCACTAACTTAACCCTCGTGGCAGGGATCAAGGTGGCAGGGGCACCAGGGAGCCCCAGGCTGTCCATGGTGGAGTACCAAGATCCTCAGAAGAATGGTGAGGCCAAGGCTCAGACATTGGGAAGGCATGGCCATACTGCCCTACCCCTCACTGACACAGTCTGTCACTCCCCAGGGCCCTCAGCTTCAGGACAGTAGATGTTCTAATCCCACCCCGCCCTCTTTCCAGAGCTCCAGCCTGTCCTATGGTGAGGGCTATTTTCTACAACCCCACCATAAGCCCACCTAATTCAAACCCACTTGACTAGACTCTTTTCCTTCTGACCACTCCTCACTCCAAACTTCTGAAACCCAGAGTAGCTGAGGGACCTTGGCCACCCATTAACCCTCACGGCAATCTTGAAAGGAGTCCCACTACTCCCATGGGGGAACTGGGACTCAAGGGCTCCCACTGGTGAGGGGCAGAGCTGGAATGGTATCTGTAAAGTGGGTAAGAGAGAGGGGGTCTAGTCAATAGTTCAGGGATTCCAGGAGGAGAATGAGTACCTACCACCATGTTCAGTCGCCCTACCCTCCAGACCACTTTTTCTTCACCTCAGCTGCACTTTACAGATGGGAAAGACTGAGGCTTAAAAAGGGGGCATGTCCAGCCCACTTTTGTGGGGGGGGGTAAGGTACACAATCCCCCTTGTTCTACCATGGAGCCTACTACCTTCCTTGCCCTTTTCTCAGGGCGTGGGGGATGGGAGGGCACCACAAGCTCTGGGCCGCACATCTATCATCAAAAATTTCACCCCCTACACAACATACAAGGATGGTCATTCTATAAGGATAATGGTGGCTGGAGAAGCAGGGTGGATGTGGCTTTGCCTCACTGAGTACCTCAAGCCCTGGCCAAGGGGCCTCACCACAGCACCCTTATACATCTGTGCCTCAGAAACCCTCAGCAAAAAGGCCCTCACCAGGAGAAGCTGAGGTCCCAGCAGCAGAGCCTCCCCAAGGTCACTCTGGGTCAACCACCGAGGTGGCACCCACCTGCTCCTAGGTGGGTCAGGCTGCTGCAGCTACAGACAGTGCCCAGGGTCTGGTCTGTTGAGATGATCCTCCCTGCCCAAGAGGTCCATGACCACTATCTTTCCTCAATGCTCCCATCTGAGGCAGAGAGAGTAAGAATGGTCTACAGACCCTGCACTTCAGGTCTTGGGCTGGGACCACTGAATAAGCGACATATTCTCAGGGACTCAGCTACAGAAGCAGGCAGAACCAGCCATAGCCCACTTGGGCACATTCAGGCCATTTATACCAGGAGGGACAGATACATACTCTAAGCACAGAGTCACACATACGCGTGCACGCGCACACACAAGAAGCATCCTGAATGGCACACACAGCCACTGATACATACAAGCACAAAAGGATGTGAAGGGGAGATTCCAGGTCAGGGACATAGGCGGAGGACCCAGGTGGATGCTACCTCTGTAGCTGGTTGTTAAGTATGATCTAGCTGTCCAGAGACCCTCCACATATGCAGGTGGGAATGGGAGTGGGTACTGCTAAGGGGGGGGGGCAACATGTGCAAGCGTGGAGGCCATATAAGCATGTCATGTGCACACGTGAGTAGCAATAGGCATGCATCCGGGTACAGGGGAGTGAGAACAAAAATGTGCACCCTCAGAGTCCCTGTATACCCACAGTGTACACGCACGTGCTCACTGGGCACCCTAGGCATGCTTGTGCACGCGCGCGTGCAAATGTGCAGCCCATGTAGACACCAGCACGTGCAAGAAAACGTGTGTGCAGCCTCAAACAGCGAGTACAGCAGCAGGGCAGCCATGGCCACCTGGGCAGCATCTTCAGGCAAGATCTGCCCCCCCCCCCCAAGCCCGCCCACCCTCTGGGGACCTCACACCTTGTGAGGGAGGGGCCTCATAAGGCTCCCCAGATAGGGGCGCTACACCCTATCAACCCTAGTGCACGGCGGCCAGCCGGGAGCCTCGCTGGGTCCTCCGATTGTGGGTGGGGCTAATCGCCTTTGCCTAGAACAGGGAGGGGGCAACGCTGGGACTGCCTCGCCCCCCACGCCCGGGGCTGCCGCCAACGCCCCCATTCATCCCACAGAGGGCTGACTCCTGAGGTTCTGAGCTGAGTTTGTTGGGGTGCGGACTGATGGATCCCTTCCCCCACCACGACCCCACAGCCCCACCACGGTACCCACGTTTCCGCAAACCCAGTGCATTAACCCTTCGCGACCAGTGTCCGCCCAGGCCGGACCCCGCCCTTCCAGCTGGCGGACCCCACCCGGGCACCGGTCCAACGTCAGGGGCCATTCGGCCCCGTCGCCCTCAGCCCCGTTGCAGTCGCCAACTTTGCCGGGAAGCGGCAACTTTTCCTTCTGCCGCCGGCTCCGCCCTCCCGGGGCTGGGGCGCCACTGGTCCAGCCCCGGCGCGGCACTGCGGTGGCGTTCACGGCCGCCCGTTGACCCTTCCCCCTACCTCAGTAGCCCGGGACTGGCTTTGCGGCTCCGGAGGGGGCTAGGGCCGCCTCCCTCCCCTGTCCCCCGCCTGCTGGGCTCGGGGCGCGGCGCGGTCACTCACCTCCGGAGAACGCCCTCTCCATCTTAGGGGTCGGGCGGGGTGTGCCGGGGCCCGAAAGTCGCTCCTGGGCCGGCGCCCGTCACCCGGCGGCCGGCGGAGGCGCAGCCGCCCCGCGGCCGGGTCCGCATCCAGC